TACAATGATTTTAAGAAGAAGTATAGCATAAAAAGAAAGTGATAAGTCAGACTGAAAAGTACAGTTGTCAATGTATTTCTGCAACATTTGAATCGCTTTCTAAAACAGTGTCAGACAAAAGAATTTCTCTTACCAACACATCGGTTTCTGGTCGGAAACTGTTGCATATAATAGCGGCAATACGGATCGTCGCTTCCACATCGGCATGGATTTTCCAGTACCGTTCCTTTGATATGGATGAGACTTTTTTTACACTCTAATAAACCGTAGTCATCCAACGGACATACACCGTTTCTGACTCGACAGTGTCTGATGAACGATTTTTTAACAAAACTGCAAGAAAAAAAAAGCTGAGCAAAAAGTTTTAGAAAAAAATCTTTTTTTTGATTTGTTATATTAGAATACAGTAAACTGGTCAATTGAATAATTGATGATTATAAATATTTCACATTTTTTTATGCTTTCTTATTTTTTTTATACTTGCTTTTATACTTCATCCTTAATAGATTGTAGTTAAAAAAAAAAAGTAAAAGTACAAAAAGATAATGTTGGATAAACTTTTTTCGCTTTTTTATACGCGTCATCTGTTTATTTTTGAGTTCAACATTACTCTTAAAAGTAAAATCATTTTTCATTTTTGCAAAACTACATTTTTTAATAAGGATTTTGCTGCTACTGCTACTGCTGCTAATGCTGCTTTCATTGACTGTAAATGATGACGATGATAATGAGAATGATGAAGATGATGACATTTGTTTTTTTTGCAAACGTTTTTTTCTATTGATATTTCTGCTTATGTCATTGTTAGGTATTTGTTGACCGAAAGCAAAACAACATCAAAATAAGAAGTCATTTTAGCGATAACACTAAAAGAAAAAGACCATAAAATTTTGCTATATCTTTAAACTGTATAGTTGTTGAACAGAATGGAAGAATAACAAACGAGCATTTCGGATCTTTTTCGCATTCCTGATTCACAGTTGTACAACTTGGAAGATCCTCGATTTCACGGCTATTGTACAGACAGTCTGGATACAAGAAGTCCCAAAAAAAATTGTTTAAACTAGTGATATCAGACAAAAATATGAGTTGTTTATTTATTTGCTTATTTTTTGAGTTCTATCAGGTCTATGCCAACTTAACCTCTCTCCTCCGAAAAAAATGAGAAACTACTTTCTAAAAAACGTAAAATTTTTTTGCCGGTTAGTAAACGATGTGAATTGAAATAAACGATCAAAAAGGTAAACACATTTTTCTGGCAGTTAACAAAAAAAAAAAAAGAACAGAAG